GTTATCAAAAAAAGGAAGCAGACAGCTACCACCAAATGTACTGTGAACTAAATACAACACTCAGCTTTCACTGGGGAATTGACTTAATCTGATCACAACACAGAATATGGTTCTTGCATGCCACCTGGAAGCAGAGCAGTGGTCAGCCACTTTCTAACTTCCTCCACTTGACAGCTTGCTCAGCACAGAAGCATTAAAATAAAAGCTCTGACTTGACCAAGTATATATCCAAAGTACAGTTTGCTTAGACATGGGTCTGATCAAAGTCCTTAGACTGCCAGGCAGTCTGAGATACATGAAACAGAGCAAAATTAACAGCAGGAATGGCGTTCAATTTAATTTCAGTATTCAAATACCCAGAACAATGGAAAAAACATTAATCTAAACTTGGGTTTGGATACGGTTTTAATTCACAACTGCATTTTTATATGCAGCTGACTGATGCAGGATCACATATTTTTAGTAGTGGGAGAGGAGTAATTTAAAATCTAGATGAAAATTTTGAATCTTGGACCATTATTTGTTTGGTTTTCTGTATTTTTTGTAGAAGGTCAGAGGCGATATTTTATGCTCCAGTGAATTTCCCAATATGCCCCTGAGTTTAGAAAAATGAGCAGATGCTGTCTTCTAATTTTGGAATCATAGCTGTCTGCACCAGACTTCAAACATTCTTCCTAAAATATGAAAGAGCCTCTTGCTCTGTGTGTCATTTTTTTTTTCAAAAAAGTAGTCACTGGGTCTACTTCCAGGAGATTTTGTCCTAAGTTTTTCTAGAAATGTTTAATTCTGAAGATACCACTCATTGAGGACATCTACAGATTTCTGTCTCATCAATTCCTTTTTAAATCCAACTCTTCTGAAGCTTCCTCAACTGCACAGTCAAGAAATCACTCAAGAATTTTCTTTGGACTTAAAAATCACAGTGGAGTTCTACAACCTCAAATCAAATACCGGTTAACTGTTTTATTATCAAATTGTTTTCATGTTAGAAGGTAAAAGAACAAACTAACAACACTAAATATGTATGGCATACATATTTATATGGCATACATATTTATATGGCATATGGCGTAAGCATAAGAGGGTTCACTGATTCTAAGAACAGCACAAATGAATGTATCAAAATAAATGTGTAATAAATTATTCCTTTTACCAATATATTTGCTTTGGATTTGCACAAGAGGCAGCCATTTTTTTCCAGATGCTGAAAATCTCATCTTTCTGGTCCTATGCTCTAATTGCTAAATTATATTCCCATGGCCTTACCAGCCCTTTTACCTATTTAATTATTTTGTTAATATTTTCCTTTTGACAAAAAACATGCTTTGAACACTGTATGTGGGAAAACTAAGAGACTTACTAGAACCTTCCAGTTATGGAGGGAGTTCTCCCATGCTTTTAAATTATTATGCATTTAAGATATATAGGTCATGTTTGGTTGTAATATCTATGTTTTAAATGCTGAGCTCAGAGTTTTAAAATTACATTTAAGGATGTTTATTTATGTCCCATTGTATCTGGCAGAAGTGATCCGAAAGCCTTACTATAGGATTTCCTTGTCAATTAGTCTATCAACTCTCATTCTGTGACAGCACCAAGCACACTTTAAAAAACAGCATCACTGCTTTTTTAAGGAATAAAAGAAGATTAAATTCCTATAACAAGGATATAATTTTATGGTCCAACTAAGTTCTAACATATCTACATGCTATTTAAACTATACATATGTGACACAGCCCAGACTTAATAATCCAGGAAGGTTAGAACTGGACCCCCTTGCTTTCTAAACTTCTGCTGCAACAGAGGAGTCTAGGTGTGGCTGGATCCAGTCCTTTACATGTCACAACTCAGACTGGACAGCCCAGGGAGACTAGGACTGAACCCCCTTGCTTTCTAGACTTCCCTCAGAGAGGAGCCCAGGTGCAGCTGGGCTCAAAATCCCTCTCTCAGGCCTGGTCTCTTCCCAGAGAGAGTAAATGTATTATGGTCCGAGTAAAAGCTCGACCGTCCAATACCCCTTGATCAGCTTAAGGTGTAAGCGACACACAAGGTCTGTTTATAACAAATAACACATTTATTACACTAGTAGGAGTTAATACTGAACAACCTAAAGAAAATCACCCACATATGTATATTAGGTAAGGAAAAGGGGATGAGAAGAAAAAAGGTGGGGGCGGGGAGGGGAGATGAGAGAGAATGAGAAAAATAAAACTGAGGACAGAAAAATCACCGGTCCTGGATCCAGCATCGTTGGTTCAGCCAACAGGGGAGGGTTGGTGTCAATGTCAGTGAAACTTCCCAAGCCCACCATTGCAGCCCCCTATTTTATAGGCCTAGAAACTTGATTTCACAATGAATACGTGTGATTGGAGCCATACATGTGTGAGCATCTGGAGTGGACCTCTGTCCCCTCCACCCCTCGATCATTGTCTTTACTTCAATTATCGTCATTATCTCATCTCTGCAGGCCATTACTGCAGTCTCCATCCTCCCAGGCAGGCCTTTTGGGATGCATACGAGCAGGGGCTACAATGGGGTTTCAATACCATTTCCCAAAGTAGGTCTGGAGGTTTGGTCCCTCATAACTGCCACTAATTAATTACACAGAAGGCTCTTATTTTTACTCCAGATCTTGTTCTATTTGAGCTAATATCTTTTTAAATAATACTAGGAAGGTAACATCACACACTCAAATACAAGAAGACAACATTCTAAAAATGTCATTTTCTTGATTAGGATATTAGCAGTCCCTAAAAAAACAATGGAAGTCAGGAATGCAAAAAATCCTGAATACTGTTTCCCCTATCTACAAGAGTGGAACTATTCTGTCAGCAAAAGACCCTCATGTGATAACAGAGGATTACTCCTGGCTGACAATTTTAGCCTCAAATGTTTCTTTTCAGATCAGTCAGAGCAGTCAAGGATGCCTGGTTTTTTGTACACTTTGTGTAAAATTTAACTAATGAAGAATAATTAAACATTAAGACATGAGTTTCTTACAAGGTGCTTTCAAGAATAATGTAGAAACTCCTGGTGAAAATATCCTTGCAATCTCAACTAAAGAGCTAGTACAAATTAATGCACAAGTGAAAATCACCTTATATAAATATGGTACCCTGTAAAATCAGTGGGATCCAATTAGTTATATCGGTGTCTTGTATTTCCAATGTTATGAAAGCAAAAAACCTATCAGATAGTGATGTTTTTCAAGGTATTTTTATTAAAAGAGCTCCTCTATGTGTACACACACAATTGAATGGGCTTGGTTATTTGTGTATACAAAGAGCTATCTCCATATCTAATTAAGCCAGACTGCAAATTCAGATACTAATGTTTGTTGTGCAAAGATTTAGTGCACAGCCCAACATTATTATCACGCCAATTCAGGAAGGTAATACAAAAGTGGTCAGATTTTACTGACAATAACTGCAAATATATCCCCACAGTAAATATCTAAACTCACATATTGAATTAAAGATTTCTGGAGCCTATTTAAAGCCTACTTGCTTAAAAAAAATAATTTAAAGAAAAAAAAAACAAAACAAAGAGTGTTATAGTTTATAAAGTATTTTGCACTGTTCTGATGCTAAAATGCCTTGAGCTTCAATGAAATTTTTGCAGGTAACTAGTTTATAATGCAAGAAAAATGAAGGTAGGAGGAAAACAAGCCAAGCTGTTTTGTTTATACCAGCATAGGAAACTACATTTCTAAGCATTTGATTCAGCTAAAGCTCTACCTTGTATACAGTTTTAGTGGAAGATGCTATATCAACAATGAAAATTACTGAAACACATGCTGAAGCTTTTTGCAAGTAGCATCATGATATGCAGATTGCTTCTAAGACAGTATTACTGATTTGATTATGTTTTGATTATTTGGTTTGATTCGTGGGTGGAGGGAGGAGGCACAGTCAGGCAGTCAGGCCTGGTCGGGCCTTGTCAGGCTGAACTGGGCAAGACAGAACTTTCAGGAGAAGTTGATCTCAAGGGAATCACACAGGGTGAGGCAGGGGGTTTGTGTGTGATTGTGTTTTACTTCAGCAGTCACAGAAACCACATGAAGTAAGCAGGTGGTACAAGTAACTAGGGTCTAATATTATATTTAACTAAGAACTATAAAGTCAAGAAGAGTAAGATATTATGTTAAAGGAGATCCAGTGGAAATAATAATACTATAATAAATCTTGAAACAATCGCATCGTGGCCAAGGTCACAGTAACCAGTTATGCTGCTTGGAGATCCCCTTACCCATACCATCCTGATTTGAATATCAGGAGCTACAATGAATACAGTGACTGTAGGTGACCAATGATTTTTGTTAGAAATTAATATACATGAAGTTACATAACTCAAAAGATCGTAAGAAATCAATCAATGTAAAGGTTAAATTTAATGAATAGTTGAAGGTAAGCATTATATGCATTTTTATGCTAAATAATTTGTACAGTAGAAATTGAACATCTGAGAACCTCCTGATTGTAATGCAACTTAGGATACGCTAGGTGGAGTGATCCTCCGTATCCTCAGCAAAATAAAGAAGTGTCTGCTTATGTGCATCACATCGGTGTTGATAAGTTCTTTTCATCCTGTTCTGTGACAAGAGGAGCTACCCCTAGTGTATCAATTATACATAAAGAAGACCAGAACCTAATGTTCAGTCCTCTTATCTCATCCCCTAGTAACTCCTTTGTCTTTAATTTTTTTTATTGGGAGGAGGCAGAAGGTTGCCACAAGATTATTTCTGTGACAGCTTTGATTCCACTAGTTTTCTGCTCAGTGCTGAACATATGTAGAGAGCTACCTTATTACTGTCTGAACCAAGCTAAGGAAAGTTGTCCTCAGGGATCCCACTGATGATGGGAGAAACAAAAGCATCACAAGGATTTGCCTAAGGTCACAAAGCAAGTAAGCAGTGAAATGACACTAAGTACTAGTGCTTCTCTTTTTACCTTCCCTTCTGGCTGTGATTTCTAATGGGAGATTTGGAGAATTATGTATCTTTCAAAAGATAAATGAATGTATTTTGAAAGTCTTAATGTGACTGCTCATTCCTATTAATAAATTGGTCATGAATGCTGTTGTTTAACAGTTTTTCTCCCATTATCCACACCTTGACAGTCACATAGGAAACCTAGGACCAGTCTCAAAAAAAAGGACAATTTCTGAGAGCTGAAGGAACCCCAGAAAGGCTTTTCTGGACTTGAACATTCCTTTGTTCAGTCACACAGCAACAGCTCTCCAACCTGTCTTCATCACTTCACCTAAGGGAAGAAATGGTCCTGAAGCAGCTCTCATTGAGATATGCTGAAGTTAACATTGCCACCACTTATGAAAGCTGTGTAAATGCATTTTAAGAGCTGTGTGGTGTGAAGTAGTTAATAATACTATGAATTTTTATACACATAAGACCGGGCTACTAGAAACAGAAAAACACAGGTGAGAACATGGACACAGATAACTGGCACATTGTCTCACATGGTGGCAACTTAACTAAAAAATGTAAATTACCAGTGTTCATACATAAACGTGATAAAGATGCAAGAATGAATTACATACTAAGTGCTTTATATTAATCCATTCCTGTGTTTCTTCTCTTGATTTACCACAGTATTAAGAAGTGTCTTTTGGGAATTAAAGCTAATTCTCCGGCAAAATTTCAAATCAACTACACGAAGGACAGGCTGCCAACCTGATTTTAAAGTTAAATAAGATTGAACAAGAATTGTTCAGAACCCATAAGGAAAACAAAGCATTGGATGGCCGGCTTGTAAAGAAAACTAATGTTCTGAAAATACAGGAACACACACATGCCCGCATGATCTACGGTTTAAGTTTTCTAATATTTTACAAAAAGCAAATCAGTTTTAAACTCTCTGTAGACTGACCAAGCTGAACATAGTCTACCAGGCTCTCAGAATGGTTTATGCAAATTATGGTAGTTCCAGAGGGAAGCAATGCCTTCATTATATGAAGGACTGCAGTAATTTATAAGGCTAGTGTCAAAGAAAAAAAAAATAAAAAAATCCCAGACCTATATTTAATAAAGAAAATGGCAATAACAACCTTTTGTTTTTCTTTGGCATCTGGAGTCTGGGATCTCCAAGCCCTTTATAAACACTACTGAAATGAACATCATAATACTCCCATGGGGAAAAGCAAATAAATATTCTAAATAATAGATGAAAAACTGGACCACCAAGAGTTTGCAGTACTTGCAAACAAATCAGAGGAAAGATGGCAACAAAGCTTAGATTCCTTTACTCTAAAATGCTCTGGGAAGCTAGAAAATTTATTAGCAATTTGGGGCAACAGTTGTATCCTTAACCAAGATGAATGGTAGCTTTCCCAGTGAATGCCAGCCACCAGTTCATCAGCCTGAGATTAAGAATCCAGATGAGGTGTTAGCAAAATGCTATAGCTCAATTCTTACTCTGCTGTGCAGCTTCTACTTCCTATAGAGCTTGGGAAACTTCACTTAACATACTTCACCATTTAAGCTGCAGAGGAGCAATAGTGCAACAAGACTTCAGATAAACAACAGGATTTGACTCATTACATTTAGCTAGAAAATGCAGTGCTGAATTCAGCCTGACAAAGTTTTAGACAAACCATGACTGCAAAATCCTAAACATCAGTTTCATGAAAAAGCAAGCATTAAATACTGTTAGAATATAACCTAGTATTTAATACCTGGAATCTCCTGAGGTATGGAGATTAGGAAGTTGTTCTGAAAGGTTTTAAACATGTTTCACTAAGCCTATATATTTTTATCTAGCATGCACTTCAATGTGTATGCACTGGGGGAGAAGCATATTCAAAAAAGCATTACTCTAAAAAAATAGCAGAGAACATTACCTGGATATTCCAAGCATGGGAAAAGATCACTTTCTCAAAACTAACACTGGCAGGTAAAAATATCCATCCTCCACTTTCTTCAATTATTTTGAAGGATTGCAGGGTGCTATTGTATCACCCTAAATGAAAGCAAGCACAGAGGATGGTATTTAGAGAACATTTACTATCCCGAAAACTGAAAATATGGTTAGGATGGATGCTATAAGATCCCCCTGGAGACTTTTCTTCAGGCTGAAGAACCCCAACTCCCTCAGCCTTTCTTCCTAAAAGAGATGCACCAACCATTTCATGGCTCTCCTCTGGACACGACCAAACAGGTCCGTGTCCTTCTTATGTTAGGGTCTCCAGAGCTGGACACAGTACTCCAGGTGAGGTCTCACTAGGGCGGAGTAAAGGGGCAGAATCACCTCTCTTGATCTGCTGGCCACATTTGTTTTGATGCAGCCTAGGACACGGTTGGTTCTCTGGGATGCAAGCACACATTGCCAGGGATTGGAATCACCAACAATTTACGAACTGGACATTTTTCAAGGCATCTTTAATACTCCAGATCTAACTAACCTCTCATAAAAGCAATCCTACAACTCACAATATAGAACTAAGCAGCAAGCATTTCTTTTACTTAAAGATTTTACTTATCAGTCTACACTAAAGAGCTTGATTTGAGGAATTTTCCTGGCCTGGCTAGTTCAGCAACATAAAAGCTGTCACTAAGGATGGGGTGAGTTGGTAACGACAATGCAAAAATTATCTTTGTGGGTTGACCACTGATGTAGTTAGGCAATACTGGAGGAATATAGGCAAGTCTTAAGTGTGCAGTTAGTTGTCAAGGGACCAAGTACAGAACCAGAGCTGCTTGCTGCCTTCTAAGGCTGATGAGAAAGTGCATTGTGATTCAGGACATTAGAGTCTCCTCTCCAACCTATTCCAGGACCTACACAACAGCTGTCTCTTAACATCCCAATCTGCCCTCAGGACAGTAGTACCATCAAAGTCACTCCATGTGATATACCCATATATCTGTGTAAAGCTTTCTCAAGGAAGCTGGTTTAATTACAAACACAAATAGTTACATAGGTCCTATAGGTCCTATATTGTTATGAACAATCTGAAGAGAAGGGATTAGTACTTTTGCAGTTAAAATACCTGATTTCCATACTTTGCTGTCTTACTATAATTTACCACACTAGCAAGTCAAGGAAACTAGAGGAGTACAGATTTGTTACAATATTATTACAGCAATAAAGAATGAGATAGTACCTTTGCAAAGGGAATAAGACTATATCAGATGACCCCAGTTAGAATCAATTTAAGCCTAAATACTGGCTGTTACCAAAAAGGCCACCACTACCCTCTTTCCCCCTTCACTATTTTCATTCCAGCCCATCTCTTGGCCAGGCAAAATAAACTACCATTACCAGATTATTGAGGTCCCTTCCAACCTGACATTCTATGATTCTGTGATTATATGATTCTATGAATATAAAACCTAAAACTGAACTAAGCAAGCAGGTATGTCCTTTTTTAAATACACATTTTCTGATCTGCCTTACAGCCATACAATTGTGTCTGCACAAAGAGACAGTGGGGGCAAGGAAAAGATGCAGGATTGCCCCTTTTGGCAGCCTGTCATAGCTGTTTATGCAACCCTGAAAACACTGTCTCATCAGAAACGCCACTCATGAATGGCTCAGAAAGCTGTGCTTCCTCCATACTAGCAGAAGCAGATGTTAACAGGGTACTCATATCTGCACTACCACTACTAGAATTCTGGGAATTTCTGCCCTGAGAAAGACTTAAAACATTTTCAGTGGGGCAGCACAGGAAGGTTACCCACTTTCCAGAAGGCAGTCAACTGTTTCCTTCTTGTCTACACATCTGCAAAGCTACAGTTGCAGAAGAAAACCCTCCCTGCTCTACTGTTATGCCCTACTTTTCTCCTTCCTCCTCCCTGCTACCCACCACCTGCAAGGAAGCAGAGCTTCTAGAGCAAACCCAACAGCAGCAAACTCTGGCCACAAGCAGCTGTGGGTCAACTGAACTATGGGAACAAACTAAAAGAAAAAGTTTCAGCTACAAAGAACATGAATTTCCATATTAGATTCCTTGCAGCACCTCTCAATTCAATGTAATCTGCAACAGCTAATCCTATTTAAATCAACTGGATGTTTGCCAGTGCCTTCAACATGAGATCTTAAGGGCACACACTTCATGCATCAGCAAATTGCACGGATGGGAGCTCCATCTGATTACGTAACTGCATTACTGAGCCTCAGCACCAGCATTTGCTATAGTCAAAAGCATACATCTCATGTGCCCATCGCCTATGAGCTTTTAAAAGATATACCCAAGGGCTTTAATTGCAAGCAAGTACATTGATCCTGGCTTGATTTCAGTGTTATTATGTCATGATCAGAAGGTTTCTTTAACTCATTTAATAGAATCATAGAATGTGTTGGGTTGCATGGGACATATAAAGGTGATCTAAGTTCAAGCCCCCTAAAATAAACAGGGACATCTCCCGCTAGAACAAAGTGGGCTCAGAGCCCCATCAAGCCTGACCTTGAGTGTGTTCAGGGAAGGGGCCTCCACCACTTCATTCTTGTTCCAGTGATCCACCACTCTCATCTTAAATAACTTTTTCCTAACAACCAGCCTAAATCTACCCTTTTCTAGCTTAAAACCAGTACCACTTGTCCTATTGTTCCATGACCTTGTGAACAGCTCTTCTCCAGCCTTCTTATAGGTCACTTTCACTTATTGGAAGATTGCTATAAAGTCCCCCTGGAGTATTCTCTCCTTCAGGCCGCACAACCCCAACTCCCTCAGCCTGTCTTCATAAGAGAGGTGCTCCAGTCATTTCATGGCTCTCCTTTGGACACATTCCAACAGGTCCATGTCCTTGTGTTAGGGGCTCCAGAGCTGGACACAGTACTCCCAGTGAGGTCTCACCAGGGCAGAGGAGAGGGATAGAATCATCGTTCTTGATCTGCTGGCCATATTGCTCTTGATGCAGCCTGGGATGTGGTTGGCCTTCTGGGCTGCAATTGCACATTGATTGTTCATGTCCAGCTTTTGATCCACTAGTACCCCCATGTCTTTTTCCACAGGGCTGCTCTCTAGCATGTCTTCCCCCAACCTGTGTTCATATGTCTGGTTGCCCTGGCCCAGGTGCAGGACCCTGCACTTGGCCTTGCTGAACCTTCATGAGGTTCACTGGGGCCCACTTCTCCAGCTTGTCCAGGT